TTTATAAAAGGATTGGAATTCCGCTATGCGCGGTACAAAATTAATCAATACAAGACGATTTTTCAACCATTCTGGTATTTGATCGAGCCAGCGATATGTAAAAGTATATATTTAAATAACTGGGATTTATTTTCCAGTAGAATAAAGTAACTTTAGATAAATTATTTAAAATTTAACTAATTAATGAATTTCATTTAATATTATTATATCGCATTTCTAATGTTGAAGCGAAGTATTTTGCAAATAATTTTTCTTAATTTTTTTTTTGGAATACCTAAAATTGTTGGCATGGTAAAGTATCAGATATTTCTTGAAGAGAAATCATTTACTGATTAGAAATCCTTCAGGAAGAATCTATCAAAATTGATTCCTGATTTCCTATCAATTTCATAGCATTCTAAGGATCTAAGGACACCATCCATCTGATTACTGTAATTGATCTTAATGAATTGATTATTTGGAGAAGAAAAATTTGCAGCACAAGCAGAAGTGTAATTGTTTTATTTCTAGAAAAACAACATGCAACAATACTTGTGTACTTAGCAGTGACACCGGACGAGAACGGTTTATCAATTCGAAATTTGATTCGGAAAACTTGGGCAACAGAAGCTAAACTTAATGGAATTGAGGTATTTACTTTTATTGTCAACACTATAATGTGACATTTTATCACTTGGATTTCTAGAAGGTATAAGTATTTAGGAATAGCAAAAATTCCATAAGTTATTGTATTTAAGCAATATTGTGATAGTACGAAACGAGTAAAAATTAAGAGGAAAATTCTGAATGAAATTTGAAATCAAAAAATTAATTTACAATTTTTGACATGTGACTTCCATCGATGACATCCCAAAATTTCCAATGCTATTCCTTAATTTTAAGCTAATCCGAAAAGAATTTAAAATTATTTCAGATAATTTTTTCCATTGGTATTAGAACAGAAGCAGAATTATATCAAACGAATACTACCAATGCTATTTTTGAGGAGAGCATGCGATTTCATGATATTTTATTGGCAAATTTTGTTGACAAGTGTTTTTTATCCTTTCTGCATAACTTCAAATATTACTTTTCAATTATCCTTGAATGATTGCTTAAATTAAAAAAAGTGTTTAAATTTAAATAATTAATCAGCTGACTAAATAACCTAATTAAGCAACCATGAAAAATTCTCACAATCACGTAAGCTAATTAAGCAATCACGAAAAATAATACGTATAAATCTTTAAGCTGTAAGTGTTAGTAGTAATTAATTAGCAACAATTATTTCATAAGTTTTTTTTAATTCAAATTAAACATATCTTATTTAAAATAGTTAATAATATTATTACTATTGTTTTATCGTTAGATGAACTATTGCATAATAAAAATATTCAAGAATTATTCCATTCAGATGGGAAAATTTGTTACTAAAATGGTGGAGTAATAATTACTATCATAGTTCACAATGTTCACATATTCCATTAATGGCTAGTATGGATTCAGATACTGTATTATTTGGTGAAAATTTAAAAAATTACTCAATAATATGAGTAATACTTTTGATGGATATTTAGGATGTATGGTGAATATTTCTTATAAATCACTTTTCTACAAATACCGCCTAAATCATCGAATGTTTTCTTTTTTTTTTAATTTTATTCTTTAATTCATAATTATTTTAGTTGATATGATATTATTTGAAGATACTTTCAAAACAACCTATCATACGTGATAGTACCAATCGATATTACGTGAACGAATTACAATGGCCTGGAAATACATTTCCAGATTACTGTAGTGGAATAATGATTATCGAAAATGTTCAGGTGAAAAATAATACTATATTTGATATATTCATCAATTTTTGGTTAAATTCCTTGTAATCTAACAAGAAATTTTATTAGTGATCAAATTAATAGCAAAAATTAAATGTTTTTATAGGCTTGCAAAAAAATTTCATATATGATACCGGAACTTGGTGTTCATTACATTACCGGATTTAGAATTTTCGATGTTCTTACCGGACCAATTGCTCAAGTGAGTTAATTTTTTTCCTGATATAATTTGTTACTACTATTAGATTTATGCTCATTCTTTCTAAAGTCTTTAGGCAGCTGGACTACAACTTCGAGATCTACCTGGAATACGGCCTTGGTTACCTGTCAGCGATGTTTGCCACTCGCTTATTTTTGTAATTCATCCAGTAGAAGCAGAGAAATTAGCCGCTTTCTTCTACTACAGGTTGATAAAAGTTGACAATTTTAGTAGTAAATTTTAATTTTAAATTCAGTATGTGTAATTTGATAAATGACGTTAGGTACATAATGCATGTAAGTGAACAAGAAGTTAAATCTCACTTCGAATTTTGTAATTACATCGAAATATTCCTATCTCAATTAACATAATTACATTTGTACATTCTCTTTCATCTTTACTAATTAACGAAATTGTTCATATATTTCCTTTAGACCCATTTTTACATCGAATGTATACTCTTTCACTAATAACTTTTTTTCTTTTTCAAATAATTTCGTTATCTTCTGTTTTTTCTCTAAACAGACAGCGATGTTGTAATGAATACGACAAGTATCGCAAATGTCCCTTCAATGGGACAGTCACTTCCAATTTCATGTCATCACATTCAGGTATTTTGAAATAATTATTTTCACTAATTGATAAAATCATAAAATTTGTAATAATCATAGAAGCAGTGAAGAAGTTTTTTTCTTTCAAAAAAATTTTTTTCCACTCAAAAAAATTTTGAGTGAAAAAATTTGTTTAAAAAAATAAAACGAAGTGGAGCTATGAGAATATTGAGTTCTGGATAGAAAAAATCAAATTTTGTAAAATTTTTCAAATAAAGGAAGCAGGGGAAGGCGAAGATTAAATGATAGGCAATTCATTCAAAAGAGAAAATGAATAGGACAAAATCTCTGTTGGATTAAAATAGATGGAAGTATGACAGGTCCTAGAAGAAATGTGTCATTTCAGAGTGATTCGGCCTGTGTAAACGCAGTTATTATGCACTTTTGGTTCGATATTTGGTACCGGAAACAAGAATACCCGAGAGAATCAACAGCCGGAAAAATTTTTTCTTCCAAACATCCATTAAAGAGATCCATTTTCTACAATTTCAAAACATAAAAATGCAATAATCTGTAAAAATATTGTTGATGTAAACTTCAAATGAATTTATATTTCATAATGGTGATGTTTTTTCCGACTATATTCATCAAAAAATTTCCTCTCAAAACTTTTACAGTTTTGACTTTAGACAGTCATAAAGTTAACCCGATAAAAATGATGATGATGATGATGATGATGATGAAGAAGATGATGGTGATTATGATGATGATGATGATTAATACTTAATTCAAACTTTTCCCATATCTCTTTCTTTACAATGCATAAATGAAATCACCAGAACTATCCGGTATTTTAACTTAGCATTTATAAAAATTTCTTTAAAAAGAAGAAACTCACATTTTAGTTAATAATTTATGCTGTTTTGATGTATCTAATCCATTCCTGATTAGAATTTCTTTCGAAGTATTATTGATAATGAAACGGCAACCTTTGAAATTACAAAAATAAGAGTGGCGGAAAAATCATATAAGCATTATAGGATGGGGTAAAAAGAAGAAAAAAAAGGTGTATAGCAATGAAATGTACATAATAATAATAAATGAATTAAATTAATAAAATTTAATATCTTATCAAGAACCATTCTTATCAATGTCATCCATCATCTCATCGTACAACTCCTTCCATACAACATCTGGTACTTCGATACCATTTATTGGTGTGATAATCTTTACCGTTGTTTGATTGTACAACTGTAATGATGAATTGAAATTTTATAAACAAACTAACGATGATTAATCATTATGGGATGAATCAGTTATCAGTGATGAAGTATATTACTTCAACATCAGTGAATTATATCTTAAATAAAGCTCATCAATATCAATTTATGCTATAGTTTTATTGTTATTTTTTTTTTTTTTTTGTTGCGATTTGATAATGAAATGGCGCTATTTGTACAGATAAGCATTTTGACTATCACAAAAATATCAATTCATTGTAGATAATTACAATGCTATTGTCATCAGCTGTAAGTAATGGCGGCTTTTGCAATGAATCCATTATTCACTATTTTGGGTTTTTGCATAGGATATTAAAATATAGCAAAAGCATCTTCCAATTAATAACAATCAGTGCTGATTAACGCTGCTATTAGTAATTTTAAAATTTTTATTCC